CTGAGGTGGGATTTGATCAACTGAGAAAAGCACAAGCTGTTTTGAAACATATATATTGGTCTCACCACAGCAAAGAAAATCATGAAGCTTGAGGCTTAAGGCTGGAACTTCACACGGCGGTCCATGCACAAAGCCTCCAAGGCCCTAAGATGAAACAAGGGAAGTGGATGGGTTGAATAGCCCGGGAGCACAAATGCTCAGGCCATGGCAGTTTCTTCGCAGAGTCCACCTGCGACCTGATTTTCTTTTGGCTCCTTGGACCCAAAACGGCAGAGAGCAAAAAAGAACCTGTAAGGATAGGAAGAATAGTCGTTGGCTTGCATGCCAGGGTGCTCTTTGGTGAAGCCATCTACAACTCCCGTGGTGTAGCTCTCATTCAGGGTGGCATCAGCTGACTGGAGGCCATCATATAGGGATCTGATCTTCTCAAGCAGCCTCATCCACAGCGGCCACCGATCCGACCAAATTAGGGTATACAGGAAACAAAGTTGACGAGGACATAGGGCGCAGTCTAGAAACTTCTTGTGCATTTCATTGGGGACCTCAACAGCTTCCAACGTCATCTTGTGTTCCGCCAACTTTGCCACACGCTTTTGGATAGCAACACTTACTTTGGGCACAACCGACGCAGGCTGGACCTCTTTCTCAACCATTGGGAAGTTAAGCTTCTTCATCATGCTCTCTGCCCCCTCCCCATCATCTGATGAGAACTCTTCACCATCGGAATCACCTTAGATTAATTGTGAGCACCCCCAGCCTATAGTTCCAACAACAACAAGTCACCAACCCCATATCTGTTGGGTGGGAAGATATAAAGGAAGGGGTTGAACCAAGAATTGAGCCACCCCCATGACGTCCCTTCTGAGGCAAAGGGGGAAAGTCATTCTCCTCATCGGAGATTTCCATTTTTTCCTCATCGCCGCTCTCCATCTCATCCTCGATCGTGCGCTCAAGCATGGAGCGGCGCGTGTTCCTGAGCCAACGGAGCCGAAGCTCAGAACCTACGAAGAACAGCAAAGGTGATGTGAGCGGATGGGCAAGCCGTGGACAAGATGTCCTTCAACTGGCAAGATCGCTTTCAGTCAACGCTCAAGCCATTGGTTCGCGAGCTGAGCAGAGCGCTCACGCGAAGAGAGAGAGCATGACTACCTACACACGCAGAGCTTTGAGGTCGTGCCGCTGCTCATGGACAGGAAAATGCGTGGCAACATCGTTATACTACCCGGCAGAGCACCACGGCGAAGGTCCTACCGATGTCATGACCACCGTCATCATCATCATCATCATCATCATCATCATGATCATTGCATCATTTGTCATACCAACATCACAATCATCATCAACACCATCATCAACAACCTATCATCATCAATATCATCATCGTTATTAAAATCATCATCATATCACCGTCGGCATCACCATCATATATTTGCCATCACCAATCACCATCTTTATCAGCACAGTCATTGCACCATCTTCATCATCATCATCATCATCGTCGTCGTCATCACACCATCATCAGCAGCATCATCATCGTTATCAGCATCAACATCATCATCCCCATCATCATCGTCATCGTCGTCCTCATCGTCCTCACCATCTTCGTCGGGATTGCAGAAGCCGCAAGTTTGTCCAAGTTAAGTTGCGCACGTCACGCCGCAGTCTTTGAATGCGCTGGTAGCATGCCTGCCAGTAAGTTCCGTTGGGAGAGAATCGCAGTCCCAAAGCCCTCAATACGGGTTAGGAAATGAAGAGACCTATAGTCTGATCCCACCCAACCTGAAGCGGAGTCCAGTAGGTGTCTTTGTAAATCTAAACAACCTTGTGTGAGCCAGGTCTTGAAGAGGGTTGAGGGCCCAAAGGTGTTGGGGGGAGAGCGCTCCCAATTGGAGCCTCACTTGTGTTTAGGTGGCCTTCTACACCCTGTTGGATGTTATTCGCAAACCTGATCACCCAGAAACCCAAAAGGGCGCCTCTTTTTTTAGTTGGGACACTTCGGAAGGCACAACATGGCTGGGATGCTCTGTGCGAGGGACTGTTCTTCCCCACCCGAAAAAAAAAAGTAAAAGTGTAGAGCGTGCCCAAAACATTCAATTCAGTTTCTCTATAACTATAAAATGGAACTCCTGAGCACTTCATGACCTCTATCCAAACCCACGCCCCTAGTCAATAGACAGTCTCAATAGTCTCCTGAGCACTCATGATA